TTGTTGATGTTGTAGTTGATGTGGTTGTGGTTGAAGTGGAGGTACTTGTTGATGTGGTTGTGGTTGCTTGTTGAGTGGTTGTGGTTGATGTGGAGGTACTTGTTGAAGTGGTTGTGGTGATGTGGAGGTACTGTTGACGTGGAGGTACTTGTTGACTGGTTGTGTTGATGTGGAGGTACTTGTTGACGTGGTTGTGGTTGATGTGGAGGTACTTGTTGATGTGGAGGTACTTGTTGAAGTGGTTGTGGTTGATGTGGAGGTACTTGTTGACTTGTTGGTGGTGTGGTTGATGTGGAGGTACTTGTTGACTTGTTGACGTGGTTGTGGTTGATGTGGAGGTACTTGTTGACGTGGTTGTGGTTGATGTGGAGGTACTTGTTGATGTAGTTGTGGTTGAAGTAGAGGTACTTGTTGAAGTGGTTGAGGTTGATGTGGAGGTACTTGTTGAAGTGAGTACTTGTTGAAGTGGTTGAGGTTGATGTGGAGGTACTTGTTGAAGTGGTTGATGTGGAGGTACTTGTTGATGTGGTTGTGGTTGATGTGGAGGTACTTGTTGATGTGGTTGTGGTTGACTTGTCTTGTTGAAGTGGTTGTGGTTGATGTGGAGGTACTTGTTGATGTGGTTGTGGTTGATGTGGAGGTACTTGTTGATGTGGTTGTGGTTGAAGTAGAGGTACTTGTTGAAGTGGTTGTGGTTGAAGTAGAGGTACTTGTTGACGTGGTTGTGGTTGATGTGGAGGTACTTGTTGATGTGGTTGTGGTTGATGTGGAGGTACTTGTTGATGTGGTTGTGGTTGAAGTAGAGGTACTTGTTGAAGTGGTTGTGGTTGAAGTAGAGGTACTTGTTGAAGTGGTTGAGGTTGATGTGGAGGTACTTGTTGAAGTGGTTGTGGTTGATGTGGAGGTACTTGTTGAAGTGGTTGTGGTTGACTTGTTGAAGTGGTTGAGGTTGATGTGGAGGTTACTTGTTGACGTGGTTGTGGTTGATGTGGAGGTACTTGTTGAGTGGTTGTGTTGATGTGGAGGTACTTGTTGATGTGGTTGTGGTTGATGTGGAGGTACTTGTTGAACTTGAAGTGTTGAGGTTGATGTGGAGGTACTTGTTGAAGTGGTTGTGGTTGATGTGGAGGTACTTGTTGATGTGGTTGTGGTTGATGTGGAGGTACTTGTTGATGTGGTTGTGGTTGATGTGGAGGTACTTGTTGAAGTGGTTGAGGTTGATGTGGAGGTACTTGTTGAAGTGGTTGTGTACTTGTTGATGTGGTTTGTGGTTGATGGTGGAGGTACTTGTTGATGTGGTTGTGGTTTGAAGTAGAGTACTTGTTGAGTGGTTGAGGTTGATGTGGAGGTACTTGTTGAAGTGGTTGTGGTTGATGTGGAGGTACTTGTTGATGTGGTTGTGGTTGAAGTAGAGGTACTTGTTGAAGTGGTTGTGGTTGATGTGGAGGTACTTGTTGACGTGGTTGTGGTTGATGTGGAGGTACTTGTTGAAGTGGTTGTGGTTGATGTGGAGGTACTTGTTGATGTGGTTGTGGTTGATGTCTTGTTGAAAGTAGAGGTACTTGTTGAAGTGGTTGAGGTTGATGTGGAGGTACTTGTTGAAGTGGTTGTGGTTGATGTGGAGGTACTTGTTGATGTGGTTGTGGTTGATGTGGAGGTACTTGTTGATGTGGTTGTGGTTGAAGTAGAGGTACTTGTTGAAGTGGTTGTGGTTGAAGTAGAGGTACTTGTTGACGTGGTTGTGGTTGATGTGGAGGTACTTGTTGATGTGGTTGTGGTTGATGTGGAGGTACTTGTTGATGTGGTTGTGGTTGAAGTAGAGGTACTTGTTGAAGCTTGTTGACACTTGTTGAAGTGGTTGTGGTTGATGTGGAGGTACTTGTTGACTCTTGTCTTGTTGACGTTACTTGTTGAGTGGTTGATGTGGAGGTACTTGTTGAAGTGGTTGATGTTGATGTGGAGGTACTTGTTGAAGTGGTTGTGGTTGACGTAGTTGATGAAAAACAATAACAGTCATCGTTCGTGTCCATTGTACTTGAAGTTACTGTACTGAAAGAAGAAAAAAATAAGTTCCTTGAGATGTTACGAGAACTCTTCGTATTTTATATTCTTCTCAATAGTGAGAATAGTCATAAATTTGAATATTTACTACTTTTGCATTTATGCATTTTGATAATAGAGAATTACACGTGAAAATATTTCATTTTGTATACTCTAATACTTGCAAGAATCTAAATGCAGATCTTCTAGTATTTTCTAGAAGTATGTATGGAAAAAAGATATATAAAAACGCTTTGAAAAGAGCAGTCTTTAGGGAACTGTTACTTCTTTCTAGGCCTATCGCAGTCCATGCGTAAAATTACGGCAGTATCGTAAGTGAATGAATGAATAAATATGGGGTTTTGCATTAGCCGAGCCACAGTGAGCGACCACCTTGCTGAAAACCTTCAAAAAAGAACTGACGATGATTTTCTATAACAGAAATTGCGATGAAGCATAT